TTAAAGCTATAGATATTCGAAATTTATTACGATATTTTCTTTCTTTTTAAATTATTTTTATTCTGCTTTTTAATTACATTCTTTTTTAAGTTCTTTTAAATGTATTAAACGTTACAATCGTAATTTTTAAGCATTTTTTGATAATAAATGTTTATAATTCGAAGATTTAACAAAGACACCATAGTGTACTTGGATTAATAATTAATTATCATATAAGATTAATAGATCCAATTTTTTCTCACTTGATAGTTATTTGTGGTATTTCCAATAAACATAAAAAAATGTTTTTTGAAAATACTCAGCGAGACAGAAAAACGACTATATTAACCTTCTTCTTTTCCTAAAATTATAACGTGATTTGGAAACTGAATTCATATTGAGCATCCAGAAAGTTCGAAAAATAATTAACTACGTTTTGGTATTTTTTTGTCAAACATTGTTAATGATACTAATTTATTTTACAATAATGGAAGATGATGTTGAACTGTCTCAAGATAACAATGACGATTTGGAACCAGAAGGTATTCCTGAAGTTGATCCTGAAGCTGATCTTGCCAATGAAGATGAACTTGTAATTGAACCTAAAATCCATATGCATCGAACTGCACCATATAATGAAAGAATAAAACGAATTTCCAAGGATCGTGCGATGGATTATTAGAAAACATATTCTAACTTGAACTCGGGATCTAACTAAAAAAACGTTACTTTTTATGTCTAATCTCTCTTCAATATAATCTTACAAACATTTAAATTTTCTGCTGCACTATTCCAATTATAAGATGCGAAAATGTTTATGCACTTATTATTACAAATTATATTTGAGAATTTTACTAATTGTAATTGATGTAAAAGTTAAATAAAGAATTGAACGATATCACATTGTCTTCAATTTTATTTCATTTTACACATACTCGTATATATAAAACTATTATATCAAAAGTGTGTGTGTGTGTGTGTGTGTATGTGTATAATTACATAATATACATTAATGTGAGATATAGAGATGTTATTGAAATGTGCTCTATATATAAAATTTTATTCAAAAATGAACAATAGTAATATAAACGTTTCGACCCTCATTCGAGTCCTCTTCACTACAAAATAATATTAATTAAATATAAAATCAAACAGGTAAAAATTAAGTACGAAATATCGTGGAGGTAATGTTCAAATTGAAGTCATATTTTGTTATTAAAATGATAGGTTTAATAATTGTCAAGATTAGATTGTTATATCATTGTCATATTCGTACTAGCTCCATTACACCGCTCAGTTTAATGGAAATTTAAAAGAAAGTTGTTAACTAAGACATTAACTTTTTAGCAGACAAAAAAATGTGGAAAAGTTTGTTTTTTTTAACATTATATGTACAACAATTGTGAACAATTTTCACTTTGTGAAACATTGTGTTTTTTCACGACATTTCTTTGTTGCATTGACAAAAGTTGTTTCACTTACGACCGCTATGGAAATTATTTTCTCTTACAAATAAAGGAGTTGCTTACTCTGAACATTTCCACTCACTGGCAAAAAAAGTAGGCCACTAAACTTTTAGCGAATATTTTTAATATTTTTGAATAGCGGTAACTCAGCAAAAAATTGTCATATCGAGATGTTTTAAAAAAGCATTTTAAAGCTTGAAATCTCTACTTTTCAGACCGGTACTTCAAAAAACGATCTTACTGATATTTCATGAAGTTACACAAACACAAATAAAAGTGTGTCAAACATAAAAATTTTTTACGAAATTTAAAAAGTTCCACAGCACGAACTAAAATTTGTGCACAAATGCGATTTACAGCTTTCGAAAGCATTAATCTTTGCTTTTAATTTGTTTTTTCATCGAACTTTGTACGATTTTTTTTTCACTGAATTATTCAACGTTCAAGTAAAAATAACCCTTTTTGCTTCAAAGTTGAATAACTCAATGAAAAAAAATCGTACAGATTCAAAAAAACAAAGTAAAGATAAAAATTCACTATTTCGAAAAGCTGTAAACTGTATTTATGTCCAATTGCTAATTCGCGCTATTGAACTTCTCAAATTTCGTAAACAATTTTGAGGTTTGATGCACTTTTATTTATACTTGTGTAACTTCTTATTTATACTTGTGTAATTAATAAATTAATATACGGCAACTGGTATTTCTTTCATTATAATAAGTTAATGTACGGCAGCTTTAATATGTACTAGTGTGCTATGTGTATACTATGTTAAAGTGTGCTATTAGCGTATACTAATAGTTCTAAAATTTTCTGAGCAAATTTACGTATTTTTTTTAATATGTATTTCTTTTTACACAAAAGTTGCTTCTTATCGTAATTTCTTCTTATTGCAAGGACTTTTAACTTGTTAATAATTTAGATATCGAATATTCTATGGTTACATATTTACATTATACTTATATACGTAAAATAATGATATAATTAATATATCAGCAATTATATGCGTAAGTTGTCCCATTTTAATCAATCCAATTAATTTTCTCCTAAATTATTAATAAAACGAAAACAATTTTTTTTTTGATAAAACGGTTTCGAGCAAGTATTTGGTCTTCTTTTTTTCTAGATAGAAACTCCAAAAAAAAATATGGAAATCATCGCTAGTTTTTAAAATCGTAGGTATTGTCCATTTTTCGAATACCTACGATTTTAGTTCATTTTAAGTCAAATACGATGATTATAGACAAGTTACGGATACAGAAAAGTTGAAAAACATAATTCATCTTCAATACACGAATGTGCACTCGTAGATATTAGCAATGAATTTTGAAAAATTTGCTATCAGTGCTACATGAAACATCGAAATATAATTTTTTGCTTTTAGACATCATTATTGTCAAAATTAACACAATAGCTCAATTTCGAATGCAAATTTATATTCAACAAGCAAAAATATATTAAAAACAATTAAAACATTAAAACAATTCTTTTCTGCAGATTAATTCTGTTCTAGTCTTATTTCAAATATGACATCGGACAAAAGCAATTGCCTGTAGTTGGAGATAACTGCTGTGGCTATACAAAATAGTTATCGATAAACGACTGGTTAAATGACAATTAAATACAGGCAACTAGCCGCAATGATGACAAAGACAAATACAACATAAAGCATTTTATTTGCTGATAGTACGAGCGCGTGTCCAATTACTAGCCTAATAATAATCGGCATAGCGCTTTATCATTTCGCATGGAATATTTTGTTATATAACATTAAGTTACGACTTAATGTTATATAACAAAATATTCCGCTTTCAAATGTACTTGGAGTAAAATTGTACAATATGCTATCGTGACTCGTGGTCATGTGTGTTTTATTTTATTTCTTATTTAATCAATTATTATATTGTTATCACATTTGGTCTGTATTTATCTCACGACAAAAATATTTTGTTATAAAGTCAATTACACGAATTCACAAGATTTTTCTCAACGAGTCTTAAATCGTTCGAGAATGATATTGCATGTCATGAAGATCAAATTGAAAATTTGTAATTGTTTGATAACAACTTTGAGTGATATAATATACATACAATATATAAAATGTCAAAAAAGATAGCGACCAAACTTATACAACGTCTTAATGAGACTAAATAAGTGAAAAAAGTTCATAAATTTATATCCGAAAATGTTATAAATGTTCAAATATTTGTGTGTCGACTGTTATAATAAATTCAGAGTTTATTCAAACTAATACAGACAAGAAACGCTGGCTGCAAGAATGCGTCAAGATACTTATTCATCCTTCTTCAATTTCATACAGTACATATTTAGTATCTTTGCGGTCAACCATATGAAACTTTAAATCAAATATCATAAGAATATTAACAACAATAAGACAAGAATAAGAATTACTAAATATTGTCTTAAAAATAATTTAGATTTGCAACATTTATGTTACATCGAATATCGCATGAAATAATCAATTAATTTCATTTGCGATCGGTACATAAATTCAATTACTTTACTTTATATGAAAAGATTGAACACATAAAAGTGAAAATTCACTACAAACATGATGAAAATTTGGCAGAGAAGTTCCCTGGATGTGTCATTTCGCGTAACGAAGACTTCAATTGGCCGTCCAGACCGTGCGATTTGACATCCCTGGATTTTTTACCTTTGGGGTTGTATGAAGGATAAAATTTACACAAATGCTCCGCAAATGATTTCGGCGCTCAAAGACAATATTCAAATTGTTGGCAAAATTGATCCGCAATTTTGCGAAAACTTGATGAAAAATTTTCTCAAAGAATGACTATTTGTAAGAAAAGTTGAGGCGGTCATTCGGTTGATATTGAGTTCCATGTTTAATAGCACAATCTGCATTTTGGATTAGAATAAATATATCTCAACATTTTCAAAAACTTATTCGCTTTTTATTAATTTAAAATGAAACTTCTTATGGAAAACTCTCTGTATAACAGTCGCAGATGAAGTTTTACAATGGCTATATTCCTTAAAATATTCATTTGCGTCATTATACGTTCATGATTCCAAACGATAGAGTAACGTTGAAATTCTAGATTAATTGAAATGATTATCATAACAATAGCGCCGAAAATTTGTATAGACTAAAAGAATAGTTAAAGTATACAATATTTAATACGAAACTGTAACCTATACTTTCGTCCATGTTTCAAAAATTTCAAAATTACATTAAATCAAAAAGATAAATAACAATCATAACATATGTGTATTAAAGTATTTATTAGATATTTTTAACGATAAAGAAAATTAGACTTTCAGATATCTATCTTTCTTAAATTTTCTACGTAGATTACGTAACTGTTTTATTATACATATATTTACACACAGAAAAAATATATACTTATTGTTAGTTATCGCTATTTTGCAGTGACTCATAGATAATTTTCGATCATTTAGATATCGAATATTCTCTATTTACTTAATCTATATTACTCTTACGTAAAATATAATTAGTAAGTTAACATAAGTATATATAGTTCTTGCAAGCGAGTAACATACAGTACTCAATATCCATCCCTCTTTACTTCATTTCAGAGCTATTTTCTTACAATCTTCGTAGCATATATTGGGTAAATATTTTTACAAGCAAACCATTTATGTAAATATTCAATACATGTTAATGTATTACAGTTTTGCTTTTATTTCTTATTTAATTAGTATATCCAGAGACAAGAGAGACACTGAAATAAAACTTTAACGATGGCTTCCTTAAAATACGTCGTAAGTTTTAATCAATTATTATTTAACTATTACAATTTTTGCAAATAAATGACTTCGAGATCTATTAAAAAAGTTTTTGAAATTTGTCTTTGTAATTTCTTATAGTTTCCTTACAATTTATTTCTGTCTTTTTCGAAATATTCTTTTTTGTTTATAGTCTATATTCCTCTTTTAATCAATCGAGAAAGAAAGAATTTCGAAGGGCATTTTTGACATGATTAATTCAATTATAAGCTTCAGAAAATTCTAAAGACTAAATTCGAAAACTTTTTAAACGGGATTACATTTCGAAATAAATACGATGTGTATTAAAATTTTCAGGTCGTATTTTCTTTACTAATGGTGATGTTAGCGTATCATTATGCTGGATCTGCGAGTGTTCCAGTAAATAGAGTATCAGTACACAGATTTGTTGCCCCAAAAGGAAGAGGTATGTCTCTACGATATTTATTAGATATGTGTATAAGATGTTCCGAAATTCGAGGATAATGTTATTGCAGCGTAAAACTTTGTGAAAAATTAAGTAATAAAAATGTAAGCCATTTTTACCGTAAATTTTTAAGTACAAATGTTTAAAGTTTGACTAATCATAAATGTCACATAGAGAGATGACTTTTTAACCAACGCTTATAATTAGTCAAACTTTAAATATTTATACATAAAAAACTATTATATGTGTAATATAATATAACAGTCAGAGTGATCGGGCTTAGTAAATAAATTATAATAATTTTTTTATGTATTCATTATGTAACTAATGGAAAAATAAAAGTGGACCACATTTTTCTTAATAATTAAGAAACATTTTTTCATCGTAGTTATATGTTCTAAAGAAGAACGCGTAAATCGAAACGTTCATTTTTTCATTAGCTATTATAGTAAATATAAAAAAACATTAAATAATAAAATATTTCTATTAAATAGTATAAAATTTCTTGTTCATATAATGCAAAGCAAACTCGTATGCGCAAGCATTCGACTACCTACTGTCATACAGGAAAGATTTATCACAATTATAATAAAAACTCAATTTATATAATTTATCCATTTTACAATAAGAAATATTCGAACAAATTTATGTCACACCTCTGTTCGTTATGTTCACCTCGATATCAATTGAAAACTACATAGTTATATTCAGATTTAAAGTCAAATCATTTCTCCAAGACATCTCAACTTCACAACCTGCGCTATACACCACCATTACAATTTTATTTTTATTTTTATTATTTTTTATTTTTTGATTATTAATAATGTGCAAATGATAAAATCAAAGAATTCAACAGTACATTTGTGTGAGGACTTTACCGTTTCTCTCGCTATCGATTAAAGAATAGGTTATTGATGTTAAGACTAAAAATATGACGGAGATTTTTTATAAACTTTATGTAAGTGAGCAGAGATGTTTTCATTAGAATTTGGGGGAAAAATTTTACTTTATTGTTTCGTTTATATGCGTTTGTAAGTATTACGATTTACTGTAGAGATTAGTGGCTGAGAATGACTAAGTTAATTCGAAACGTACTAAGTATTATATAATAAACATATACATTTTTTTATTATTAAAATCCATTTATACTTGTTCATTTAGACCTGGAAGATTAACTATCATTTGTTATAAAAACATTATTTATAATTTCTTTATCAAGCTCGGTCACTGACTGATAATATTTACTTTGCATGATACGAGCGAACGTTAATAACAAAAACTGCTATGCAGAAAGAATGACTTATGTATTTTATTACATAATTTTTCACAAAATTTCACGTTGCAGTAATATTATCATCGGATTTCTCGGAACATGTATATTTACAATAACAAATACATCAATTATTAACATTGATTTATTTTGCAGGTGCATTAAACATTGAAGAATCAGAACAAAAGGAAAAATATGACGGACAAAATGGACAAAACGAAGAAGGAAATACCGAAGAAGGATCAGAAGATGAAACTGCACCAGTGACAGCAGACAATCGTATTAGAGAATCACCAATATTGAAAGATATATTTCCATCATGGATATTTCATCATCCAGGACATTCAAATTCAGAAAATTCAGAATCAGATGAAGATGCAGAATTAGACAATCCAGGACAAGGAGATGATGCGAATGAAGGAGAGAATGAAGAAGGAGAGAATGAAGAAGGAGAGAATGAAGAAGGAGAGAATGAAGAAGGAGAGAATGAAGAAGGTGAGAATGAACCAGATGAAGATGAAGGAAATGAGGAAAAGTAAAAAGAGTTAGGCAGGTAAACGTACAGGACCAAGTACACAATATGTAGAAGAAAAGAACACACTCGCCTTTTCGAATGACAACTAAAAAACTGAATAACTCTTCGATGAAAAGCTTATTCTAATTTTGACTATACAACGAACTAAGAAAACATTACTTTTTGTTTTTAATCTATAATTTCTTTAATAAAATCCTATAAATGTTAAAATAAGCACTAATCTTTCAGCACTATAAGATATGATAATTTCTATGCACTTATCATTAGATAATTTTTTGAGAACATTAATAATAAAATAACGGACCAATTGTAAATATGAAATAAAAGATTAAGAAGCAAATTATTTTTCTCAATTTTATTTCGTTTTGCATAAGAATTATTATTAAATTATAACATATAAACTGTGCGTGTGTGTGTGTAGTTTATAAAAAAATGTTCAACATTAATATGTAACCACATTAGCTAGATAATGTATTTCACGTTTCTATTTCTTCTATGATGTATTCTTCGTGCAACGATAATACGATATATTAGTTGGCCTGGGCAAAAGATTAGTAATATCGTCACTTCATCATGAAACAGTGCAAACCCTGTACTCGATTATAGGCTAACAGATTCAATATTATGGTAATAAATCAATACAATAAAAATTATTTTATTGTATTGATTTATAACAATTATAAAATTATTAAGAAATAATAATGCCTTCTAAAAAAGATCAATGTTATATTATAATAATCTATAAAATCTATACAGTACGATGTAAATTATTTTAAATTTTACTAAGAAACTAAGAGATTTCAAAAATAATTATTTATTAACGACACATTATTATTACATCTGGAGACACGGTAGCGTCTCGGCGATAAGCAAAGCACATTAAAAAATTCAATATAATTTAAAATATTTATGTATATAAATATTAAAAAGAAAATACCGAAAATAAAATATTTATACAAATATTAAAAAGGAAAAACAGTCTGTCTAGTAAGAGCGTGGCAGGCCTATCTCAAAGAAAAATGGCTTATTAGGTGTTAAAAAAGAGATGCCACCGGCGACTACCCAACCAAAACGTGTTTTTGTAAGTATATGCCATGATGACTACCAAACGCAATCGTTAAGAAACAAATTGTCTAATCAAATTTGTCTGGTTAAGATAACGATATAAATATAACGATTTTAGATCATTCATGTTTAACCAAATAGTCAGGTTGTTATACACATGTTTCATATTAATCCAACCCATTTTTTTTCGCTTGCAGGATCTAAACTATGTTAATGTTGCATCTAAATATTGTGGTTATGAATACTAGATCTTTTAATTATGATAACCAGAAGTTTTGTTTAATTCTATCAATACTTTTTTAACAATATATGTCACGATAAGCCAACCATGTTTTTTATTTCTTGTATAATTACAATAACTAGATATTTAGATATTATTACTACATACGCACTAAACAAATTTTAACTATTATCATATCTAAATGGTTTGATTGCGTATAACCAAATATTTTATTACAATAACCAGAAGTTCTCTTTACTTCTACCAAAATTTGCTTAATCAAATATATCATGTTGATTCAACCATGGTTGTTTTTTTCGTGCAGTTCTATTATAAAATTTATTGTTGTTCAATATTTATATTATTTTAAAATCACCTTCCCTCACTGTTTGAATAATTCTACACCCAGAAAAGTAAAAAATCTCATCTTTTTTTGTCTTGCCGGTCCAATGCGCAGAACAAATGTGCATTGGACTAGCAAGACAAGAATGTTCCGCGATATTCGCACGAACGCCTATTTGCTTTACGCGAGAGAATACGTTGCTGATTGGTATGACGTTGAGGCAATTTCCGACAATTACCGGAGGAGGTGTACTGGTATCATCGCGCAATAGAGTCCTCGGCATCAATGGTGATACAATGGACTGCGAAAGAGAGATCGTTAACTGATCACGTCAAACTATTAGTTCTTAAGAAATATTATACATAAATATCGAAGCACACAATGGCTCCTAACCGCTCAAATTTTATTCGTTTGCCGATCCTGCGGCACATAACGAACTGTCAACATAATAACTGGAAATTGTATTGTTTCTTTAATATTAACTTATTTTTGATATAATTAGTTTTAAAATAATTTATAGTTAGATTTTTTTTACCGAGAATGTATGCAAAAGTGTTACTTCTCGTTAGATGTTTTTCTTTTTAATGTGATACAAATATTTTCTTTTAACTTAAATTTTATTTTATCGTCGCTGGATCATATATTTATACATAAATGAACTGCTAGAAATGCGTGTAGGAAGTGAGACAACATTAAAAAACATTTTGTTCTAAAATTTTGCCACGTTTTCGTTATTATTATTATATGTAACGTTATATACAACGAATCTTCGTTAGGTACCTACAAATATATAAGATATAATATATAAGAAATGTGATGGAAAATATTTAACATCAGCTCGTTTTTAATCTATTTGAATATTATTTATAGTAAAATGTAAAACAAAAGTGTACAAGAAAATGTAAAACAAGAGTGTCCTTCTTAATAATCTTTTCTTTTTAACGCATTAAAAGAAAATTTTTCTTTAAGGACACTTGATTTTGATCTATTGTAGACATATATATGTATTTACATATAAACCAGCTGTAAAAAATCAGCTATAAAAAATGCGTATAGGAGACAACAGACAAAATTCATTCCAGAAGTGCCATGCATTTATTATTATTATATATAATGTTATATATGCGAAACTTTATTATGTACACATGTAAGAAATACGTGTAATATGCCGAATGACGAAGATCGTGATTGAGATTGTGCATCTAAGAGATCAGTTGCGGAGGTCCTTAGTTCGTGTTGCCAAATGACGTGAATTACCAGTGTCCAGGTGAATATCCACGAATAATATTACCTAATCCACTATGTCCAAAAGAGATGCTACCGGATGGACCAGTAATTAGAGCTGGAGCTGCGATAGGTCCAGCAAGAGCCGCTGGACCTACAGCAGGACCAGCAAGTACTGGTCCATATGAACCTATATAAAAAATGAAAGAAGCTGTAACTTATTTATTTAAAATACACGATAAAGATACGCATTTTCAATATTCTAATAAAGGTAATGATTCATTAAATAAAAGTGTCTTATGTCTTATACATATATTTATATTTGTAAATTTACATTGCGAAAAATATTATCTTGGAAATTAAACCCGAATCGCCTACTTTACGCGCAAGCGTCCTAGCCAATTAGACTACCGAGGTCTTTAAAATGTAAATTAATTATTTACAGATTTTTTATATGCCATTCATAGATTTTAATATGTCACTCAACATATCATTAAGTTCCAAGATGCAATAGCATCAAAATTGTTAGATTGTAAATCAATTTAACTCGTGATAGTACTGCAGTAGTTTATTAATTTGCGTTGTAAGTTTGAAAAAATTTTGACGCGCATTTAAGGATTTATATACGTAGTATATAAATTCACACGAAATTATATTAGAAGCATCCAAGATCCAGCTTGACCGTAAATGGCTTATTTTCATTGGTATTTAGTTTAAAAATTCTCACGGTCCAATAAAATTTGATATTATATTTTAAAGTTTTTCAAGATTTTTTAAAATATAACTTTTTTAATATCTCACTTTTACAGTATAAACAAATAAATAATAATATTCAATTAAAGATCGTTTAATGTGACAACATAACTAATACGAATACAAAGCCTATAATAGCTTGAATCTTAGTTGATTATATATAATTTCACGTGAATTTATATATGTGTAGTCCTTCTAAACTGTGCGCCGAACGATTGTCGGTATTGAAACGCAACTCTAATAAACTACCATAGTACTATCACGAATTAAATTGATTAACAATTTAATAATTAATTGATGCTCTCTTGTCATCTTATATCGATGTTAAACTGTATTATAAAATCTGAAAATAATAATTCTTCTTATTGCGAAAAATATTACCTCGGCTGGGAATCGAACCCGGATCACTTGCTTTACGCGCAAGTGTCCTAACAATTAGACTACCGAGGTTTTAAATAATTAATATCTTAAATTATTGCAAAGCTTATTAGTGTGTTTATTATTGATAATAACAATCATTGACTTACCATAAGCTGGCCATCCCAAGACTGGTGCCGCATGGCCAAGAGCTGGGCCGACAATCGCGGCTTGTCCAGAGATGCTATCTGAAACGACCGATGGTCCAGCTACAGCACCAGTAACGATAGCACCACCATCAACCGCTCCGGATATGCGCGCAGGTCCAACCACTGGACCAGCGAGAGCGGACGGTCCATTGATAGGACCTGCAAGAGCCGCAGGTCCTAGAATCGGTCCAGCTAACGCGACACCATGACCTAAGTAGCCTGATGGTGCCGCGGCTGCTATCGACAGAGCCGCTACGAAAAAAATCGCGACCAAGGCGCACATAACGGAAACAAGAATAATTGATAGGTACAATATTAGGGAAAATTTGCTTCGATGGCTGAGGTGAATGTGGTTGGCATCAACCAGTGTCCACTACGCTTTTATAGGGGCATTGTCTCCCCGAAGGAGCCTCAGCGCTCCCGCCAACCCCACGGGCGGGGCACAGGACACGCCAAACATTCTCCGCAAGCTAAGGTGACATTTCATCGATTTATCAGCATTAAGTCATCGTGTTAGTGACACCAGAGTGCACCTAACGTCTCACCTCGCCGCAAGTCAAGCTATGCGGCTCGAGGGTCGCGTTGCTCCATTTCATCACATCCATCTATGGTCTCGTGCGTTATGTTTGCCTCGATCTATTCGCATAATCGGTAGTAGTAAGAACAACAACAGATCAGTTCGATATCTTGGTACAATATTTACTTTTAGCATGCTAAAGAGATACAATTATAGATTGACAATCATGTGATTGACGTATATCTCTTGTGCGAAAGCGAATGACAGAATTTATTTAGACAACGATTTGCATTGTGATTTCTAAAGACTTTATTATTTCATACTTTCAAAACGTTTTCTTTTAAAAACGTATATTATAAAGGATAAAAAAATTACAACATAAAAAACTATCGACAAACATCATAAAACATAGATATTGATTGCCGTGTAACATCATCACGTATTTCGACCTCGCTGTTAAGAAGCGTGGAAAGATAAGATGGCAACTTATCATAAGCAAGTCATCAATGACCTTGAGACTAAATACGATTCGCGTATTTTATGCGTGTTCTCTTCCTGCTTTCTCTCAGTAGGCAGGTATACGTGTCTGTCGCCATTAGAACGATTACATTGCGTATTGTATTGTGCATTCGTCTAGGCGAGGCACGGTTGCATTGCCCACGCGTCATCCGGGCTTTGCTGATTGTCGTTAGGAATGAGGGCTCTTCTATTGTTATCGAATACGAGTGTGCGTGCCCGAACGCGACGATATTATCAAGTTCGTGGCAGATCGTAGACACGGTGCCAGGAAACGTTTACAGAGCCATTATCGAATGTCATATGCAGCCTCGAATACAAAGATGACTGTTGATTGAGCAATACGGAAATTCTTTTTTCATCGTTATCCAGTTTACCGAATGGTAAATTAAAAAGAACCGCATCCGATGTGCTCGAAAAACAATAAACGCGAAATTTCTTAACTTGGACATTCCGTCAATTTCCTCCATCGAGATTTCTTTCTCTCGAGGAAACGGAAAATGCATTGTGTGTACTATGTTATGACGTAGATCAGCGATCCTCAAAGTTTCTCGGTTAAGAACCATTTTTATACGAGTTGAATTTGGCGAGACTCCAGCGACGTATTTTTCCGGAATCACTTTAATCAAACGAGACATCTAATTCTCAATAAGTATAATAGTAAAAAAATATTTTATTCTATTTGTTAGTTATATTTTGTTATATTAAATTTAGATTGTCTTTGTAATTACATTATTATTATTATTATTATTCCTGTAGAGAATCTGTAAACTAATTCCATAAAGCATGCGTTACTATATGCTTGCAGCTTGTATTATTATATTAGTTCTCTATTTAGTCATCAAAGCATATATCCAAATGCGAACGGCCGAATAGATTTTTGGCTACATATGTTTATCGCTGACACATTCTCTAACTGGTTTATAATTACAAAGCACGAAACGTAACATAAAGGGCTCTTATCAGAGTTGTTTAGCTTGCATACCGCGTGCATTATAATCGATTATTATTTGGCTAATGGTTCGGATGAACAGTCGGCTACAATATGTTACATATTTTCATCATGGTGATCACTGACATCGCGGTATATTTAGCTATGTACATCATCAATCACCAAGCACTGTCAAGTGAGTTCTACTTCAAGCATTGTAGAATGTGATGGCCTATCGTTTATTGTGAAAGTTTTCAATGTGCACGTGACTCAGATTGATCGTTCGTGAGATCAAATTACTCGTCTGCCAAATGCAATAGATCGCTCTGTTCTGTCCTGTCGGAGTGCTACTCTTTCTCCCTCTTTTTATCTACGAATATAATATTTTATACTTATTGATTTATTTCATTTACAATCGAATATCTTGATTAAATAAAAGAATTCCTATATTCGATCAAAGTGTGGATCTTGATGCTTAAATATTTGTGTGAATTTATATCTGTTATTTACATATATCTGATTCTGTAATATGCGCGTTGAAATTTTTTTCAGTCTTGAAACGCGATCATGAGTAAAACCAGAATAGTAATATTATTTATTAAATTGATGAGCAATGTAATAATTATTTCTGCAAATTAGCACTCTTTTATAAAAATATTAATAATTAGATATTAAAAAAAAATATATATTATATATGAAAATTTTAAAACTGCAAATAATTTTATTACGAAAAAAATTTCTAGCATCTTGACTTTACTGCAGTGGTATACATATATAGATATTGCATATTTTATCAGCAGTATCAGGAACGATTATTTTAATATCGTTACCTACCGACTATTTTTTATCGATTTCTCTGTACAACCTTCGACTATATTTTCTCCATGACATTAAATACCGAGCAGTTTATTATAACACCGATTTACAATACCATTCAAGGAGATCTTTTCCATCTCCAGGTGAATACAATCGCGACATCGGACCGCCGATAAACATTACGTCGCGAAGGTGATAAAATCAACTTCTTTAATCGTTGCTCACCCCTACTCGCTTGGGCGCGGTCGCTTTTACCGACTCGGTTCAAGGTTGCGTCGCAACCTCGTGTTTTCAATCCAATTGATCGAGTTTTCTTTCTATTCTTCTTTTTTTTTTCAAAATCTTGTCACGCGAGTTAAGGACGGGAATACAGAGCGATGCCTCGCCTCGATTCGCCAAGTTCGCCGTCCCACGTTGTATTCCGACTATAAAAGCACACTTAGCATCAGCTTGCACGGTAATGTCCCTTGGTAATGACTGGTGAAAAGTCGCTGCATCTCGAATCACAGCATCTTTCGTCATCATCGATGAAAACGCGCTATGCAGTAGTTAACTAGCAGCATGGCATTAATGAGAAAAAAGAATTTGATATCGATAGGATCGAAGGGCGACAAAGCAACAATGGTCCCGCATAGCTTCTAACTCTAAACTTTCCACTAAAGAGATTTCCACAATCGCTTGATGTTTGAAATATTTACAATTCAGGTGAGTAGTACCTTCACGAAAAGTATAAAACTGCTGAAAAATATAGGTAGTGTAATATATCTGCAGATATATATCTATATTTGATGTACGACGTGCGTATACATTTCTGCGCGATTTGAAAGTTTCCTATTTATGGAATTTTATTGAAGACATTATGCTCGATTTTGCTGTTTTATTATAATAATAAATTTAATATTTATATTAAAAAATATTTCCAAATTGATAATAAAAAACAATGAGTTAACATTTTCAATATTTTCAACTTTCAACTATGCATGTGACAGAGATTGATTTATTTTTACAAGCTTTTTACAAAAATGCTCGATTGTAATGTCAACAAAAAACGCGTAATTGATTGATGAAAAAGTCTATTTTTCAAAAAATTAATTGGATGTACAAATATTGCTACATAGGTACATATATATTTTACGTTAGCAATCTCATTCTAATATAATTTTTTATTTTCTAAAATATTTTAATTTCGCGGATGAAAATATGTATAAAGAATCGATTTCTGTCTTAATTGTAATAATTAACAATATCTATTATAGATGTTTATTTAATTATTATTTTTAATCTTGCGTTTTTCAACAATTAATGTTCTTTTTAATTTTCCGTAGGCATATTCAAAAGAAAATACGTTGATCACGGATCTACGTTCCGAAACTGTTACGACTGTCGAAGGATTTATCGATCGACCTTGCACGATCTACAGCGGCTCTCCATGGTTCGACTTGTTAACGATCTTTCACACACGCCCTATTCACCACATTATTATCAGCCACTCCTCACGCCATTTTCGCGTAGTCGTTCGTATAATGCGAGGGGGGTAAGAGAGAAAGAGAATGAGTTTGCCAAGAGAAAACAATCCGGCTTTCTTGCTTTATGTTCTCCCCAAATCGATCTCCACAGGAATGCCACCGGCTATCCGGTAGCTGACGACGATCGGTCTCGGTCGTAACTCTGACCCGCGACAAGACTCGTGATTTATGGCGGCAACAAAGACGAATTCACACGCGGGAGCCGTCGTTTTCAAACCCTTATAAATGCATCTCGCAGAAAGCGTGAATACAATGACGTTTTGTCAGGGTTGCTAAATATATAGTTGGTATAATATGACCGGTCTATTCAACTGCAACGCAAATTACACGAATCAGTTTTCTTACTTTTCTGGATAGCTTTTAACTCGGTAAATTATAATTTCGGATATTTTTCTAACAATATTTTAATTATTTATTTAGATATTAAATAATATTAACAATTGTACATATTTAAATAATCTGTTTATAAATATTCGATAAAAAACTTGATTATGGGATTTTTTAAACAGATCGATTATATTCATAATTTGGAATTTTTTGAAACAAATATTATAGGATTACAATATATTCTTGCAAACGTAATTTCTTCTCGTAAAAATTCAAAGACTCTATAAAAACTTCATTTGTCAAACGCAAGTTGAGTTATTTAATTTTATCAAAAATTTTATATAGTATAGCTATATTTAATAAATACGTAAAAAAAAGTTAATAATATTTATCTAATTACTTTGTCAAAACTTATCTACCTCATCAATTTAAATCAAATTTATTATTAAGTACTATCTTATGTCCAATTTAAGCAAAATAAATTAGTTATGTTATTTTTTAATTAACAGACAGATTAAACATTTATCAGTATAACTAATGTTATTATGTTATATTACAATGCGTATTCAAAATCATGAGCACGTATAATCCACAAAGAATTACAAATATAAAATAAAGTATAAATTTTCTCAATAAAATAATATAAAAATAGTAGAAGAATCAACTTCTTTATATTTAAAATATCTCGTTTATTTAGATATTCTAGGTTTTCTTTATTTTTTAAATATTTGTGCAATATTATTCGTAACGTTTAAATTCTATTTGTATACACAAAATGTTAAAAAAGTTTATATACTTGGATAGGTAATGATTATCACCATTTACTTTAAAATAATATTTCTAGAATTCTTCGATGATTTTACTTGTTGCACAATATTATTAAGTAAATCTTAGAAACTCAAGTGTTAATTGAAACAATATCTTCCCACGGTTGCAAACGCCCATTAACTTGTACCGCCTGCGAGTGATGCGGCAGTTACGGACGCCCGTTAATTCACGATCGATTATCACCCACCAGTGTCAACGCATAGCAATTAACGTCCTTGCACTATGCACGTTATTCGCTTGTCCGTCATGAAAACAGTGCGGCCCTCGACGCGGCCTGTGGCCTGTTGCTCGCGACCCATTTCTTATTCTCTCACAGACGGTGGGCGGCCGATTACAAGTGGGTGACCTTTCGGAATTTGCGAGGGTTCGGTGCATTCTCACAATGCAACTACCATCGCGATGATGAAACGCGCGGGATTACGTAGTCGCGTCGTCGCTATCTCAGCCGAGACGTGGCTCGGGCCACGATTTTCCCATAAGACGAAGGCCACGCTCTAACGTCGCTCGATATTCCGTTCGAGAGAGCTCACCACGCGAGTAAATCTCGGAGTATATCATTTTCCGATAACAATTTGTTATAGAAAAAAAGGAGTGGACAAAGACGGAGACATAAGCAAATCCAAGATTAAATATATATTCATGTGACGATCTGGCGATTATAAATCGCACGATAAATTACGCAATAAATACCGTAAATCGCGTTTCATTTGAATTTGTGCAAATCCTGCATAAATTACTTGCTAGATACGCCGATATTCAAATTTATGTCCGATATCTTTTTAGTATACTTTCGTCCGTAATTCTTTATGAGACCTTCGAATACACAAAAAATTACGGATGGATTATATTAAAATTATTATATTTTATTCTAATATGTAAATACGCAATCACAAATCACTAACGATACAGGATTATTTTAACACTGATATTCAGATAGATTATTGTTATGTACATCTTATATAATGTCGATGCACAAATTGCAAATTAGTTTTATATTGTTAAATAAACATGAAGAGTTATTGTTACATTAAAAGAAAAAATGTACTAAATTTTAATAAATATTTGTGAATAGAAGTATTAACTTAACATTTACTTACAGTAAATAAATATTATTTAAAAAATGATAGTTAAGTGAAATTAATGATTCTTGTATCAAATAAACATGGAATGTCCCGAAATTTGCAAATCAAAATACCACTGCAAAACAGTTTTCGAAAAATTAAATAAAAAAGTTATGTGTACATAACTTTTCATTAGTACATTCTTTATTTCAAATAGTAGTTTTTGAGATATAAAGGTTTCAATATAGTTAAGATTACATTTAGACAGCCATAAATGTCCATAAATCGCATGCGATAAATTAGTAAGCGCGCAACATTCTTTTCAGCGCTTAAACGTAATTTGTTTAAACATAAACTTACAAATAACTTTTTCATTTAATTTTTTATAAGACTTTCTTATCGAAGTATTTCAATTCGCGAATTTTTCAGGACTGTATATGTTTACGTTTCAGTATTCAACTAGTACTATTAAACAAATGTTTATTAAAATTGAGCATATTTTTCTCTTAATGTATTAATAAAGTTATCTTGGATAATAATAGATTTTTGAATTTACATCAATGTTTCAACGAACGTTCTATCTGGTTTTCTCTCTGACCGTGACTTTTCATGTTCAGCTTATGAGTGGCGAACCATGTCCGCATCGAGTCACGCGATGACCTTACCCTTTACAACGATCATTACGCATTGCATTAAGGCACACGTTAGATCTATGTCAGTTTCATCAACTCCTTGCATTTAGCGATTATATTTGACGGGCACAAGTGGTCTATTACCGAGCGAAATGAAGTGATGCCCCCGATATAACAATTTGGTCGAACAATACATGACGTGAAACGTGTAGCCTTTCTGATGAGTGTAATGAAGTACAGACGGTTATTATATATCGCTATTTTCATATTTTATTTACGCTTAAAAATTATGACAAAATAGACTAAATAACGAAGTGTGCAGAAAAAGTAGCGTGACAAAGAAATTTAGACTAAACTCACGTTGGACGGAAAATATAAACTGAAAAAAAATCAGCAAAGATAAAGTTCTACAAATCCTAGTTGATTAGATAAACTATAATACGTATTCATTATTAATATAAGATTACAGCATGCCTAAAATTGAATGAACGCAAAATAAATATTAAGTAACAAAATTAAATATTAAAGCTTTTGCGCGATTTTATCTTTTAGTACAACTTATAAATTATGATGTATATTTTTTAATTTCACTGAAATATAAATGTGCGTTTCATGTACGACGTCAGCTTGCATTGCTCTATCGTTTATTTTAATATGTAAATGGAAAACTTAAACGGTGATGGTTTACTTAAACAGCAAACACAATTGTCCAAGACTTAAAGTCAAATATAATCGTGCCGTATCACTTACTGCTTTCATCATGAATAATTGCAGCTTTGCTGATAGAAGAGAAGGTTAGATTAGTAAATCAAATTACCACGGTAATTTGCATAAGATAATTAGCGTGACTTTTCAGTTTTAAACTTAATAATTTAACACAAAGTTTTTACATGATTTTCTACTGAAGAATTTCGAAATATTAATTAAAGCAACACCTTTTATAATCGTCCGATTTTTAATCGATTGTATAAGAAATGTTGATTGATTTACATAATTACATTTAATGATATAGAATACAAAAACAATAAGTCACGTATATAGAACATGTGAATTTTTGATAGATGCGAGAGATCAAAATTCATGAGATGCACCAGGCAATATATTATATGTATACATACACATATATATATATATATATATATATAACACTCTCTAGGTTATTATTTCACATTATATGAATATCTTCTTTTGAAAGAAGAGAATTTATTCCATTCGTACAGAAAAGAAATGTAAGTACCCATGCGCACACTATAAAACGGAAGTATCGAGCGCGACGAACGTCATCGTGTTACAGTAATTTCATACCCCCCATAATACTTCTTCGAACTCTCCTAGAAAACCAGGGAGGGGTTGGCAATTATTCGGTATTCTACTTTTTCAATGATAATGTAGAGAGTTTTTCTTTTGTATTTCGCAGATGGGTGTGCGCGCGTTACCAATGGCCGTGGCCGTGACCGGCCTGAATGGCAGCACCGTAACCGCTTCCGTGGGCCGTGATCTTTCCGGAAGGACCGGCAATCACCACCGAACCGGCATGCGGTCCAGAAACAGCTGCGCTTCCGGAATGAGGTCCAGCCAGAACCGCGCCATGAGTAGCCGGTCCGGCAACGACTATCCCATGCCCTCCATGACCGCCAGCATATCCTGTATAACCACCATAAGCAGGACCAGCCGCATATCCGTAACCTCCTGAAAACAAAGAAAGTAAGATAAGTATTGGAAAAACGAATAGAATTGTTTTCAGTACATATGCAATTATTACTTTCAAGAATGCACATTATGCGCATACACAAAATTAATTTTAAAGTAAATTTTAAGATTAGCTCTATTACTTATGTATCTATTAGATAACAATATTATATTATTTATACTTTACAGTATTCTTTTTATATAAATAAATTTACAAATGTAAATATATAATTATACATTTATAAATTTATATATATATTAATATGTATACATATATATACTATAAAAATACAAATGCATAAATATAAATTTATTTAGCAAATTGTTTGAAACACATTTTCATATTACACATTTTTTAAATTTATTTTATTTTAGATTATTGCTTGTTTCTAAATTAGAATCTCTTTTGTCATTGACTTATTGTTAAAAGCGTTTTTTCTTTTACACGACAATTCTCTCTATACAATTAATTATATTACTTACCGATATAATTACCGCCATAGGCACCTCCATAACCATCATAGCCACCATAGGCACCGTCATACGGACCACCATAGCCTTCTACGTGCGCTGGACCAGCGACCGACGCAGTCACAACAGCTGGTCCAGCAACTGCGCCTGATACGTGAGCAGGACCAGCCATCGAGCCAGACAAACGAGCTGGCCCTATCGCTGGAGCGGAAACAGCAGTGGCACCCACGTGTGGACCCGTGACACTCGCTGCTCCAAGGAATGGTCCAGTAATAGCTACTCCATGTGCGCCGTACCCTATACCTCCGTAAGCTCCGTAAGCTCCGTGAGCACCATAAGCTCCGTGGCCACCGTAATATCCGTGACCGCTCAAAGGCGACGCAGCAACAATGGCGCACAGGGCAAACGAAACGTACTAGAGATGGAGAATTTCAATTCGAGGTGAGTTCAGCAATAAGCTATATAGTTCGGTACAATATTGCACCAAGTGTTTCTCCACTTAAACGATAAAGAATTTAATTGTGGGAGGAAACACCACAAAATTTAACTTTAAAGCTATATTTATTGTACGATGTCAAGTGAGTAGATCGCGAAACTCCCGCGCGATTAAGTTACTCGGTTATCGTACTGCTTGCTTAATTTTTTGACAAGAAAATGAACTACGTATTCGCAACGCGTTTGTCACTTTTTATGTCACTCCATCGTTCCGCTGAAAGAATAACAGCGGACCGATTGCGGCACGTTGATTGCTTGGGTAACAAAAGAAAGAAAGACAAGAGCGCGCACTTCCGACGATGAATACTTACAAGGATCTTCATCGTGCAGACCGGCGAATGGTTGAATGTGCCTACGGCCGACTTCAGCAGACTTTATATACATCTCCTAGAATCTCCGACCGCGCCCCCGCTGATCCCTTCAAATCATATCCGTTGATGATGTTAGCCTCTCGTTCATTGTGTAAGAAGGTCACCATCCGACACACCCACCCACCTTTGGACATGGACCCTTTACGTGACCTTCGCCGGGAAACTCTTGGCTCAGAAATTTCAGAAACAACCTCCTTTGTTTGATCTGTACTTACTATAGATTTGCTGACTAGCGTAATCGTTACACACCAGGCAATTATCTCGCGATACTTTGAGATTTGGAATTTATGAAACTTGTTTATCAGATTCTTCAGCACTCATTTTTTTTCACGACTAGACTATTTTTTAATTAATTTATATATGTACAGAATATTTCTTAACTTATTTATTTCTATATAGAAACTTGAGATAAGTATTGAGATAAATGCTCTAAAAAGCATGTTTTACTATCTATCTTTTTAATTTTAAAATTATTACTAAGTATAAAGTTGTAAAATTTTAATTAAATTTTTTCTGTTATCTTTCCTGAAGAAGTCCGTATAATTTTACTCTTAAAAATATTTTTCTTTACCTTCAAAAGTAACAAAGATATCTTTTTAAATACTTAGTTCTGAATATGTACGTCTCTCTGTATATCGTTGTGATTACAAATCTCTCTTACGTTTTCCTTCTTCATGAAAAAAATGTGTGTACAAAGTGACTTTCATATCTTTTTGAAAAGTCTTTCTCTTCTTTAATATGCAAAAAAGTTAGATAACAAATGTAGGGACAAATATGTAATATCAGTGAGTAAGTTTCTTACTCACATCTCTTATCATAATTGCACGTGTTAATCATCTGTATATATGCAGTCTTTACGTACACGACCCGGCTTTATCCTTTCAAATCACACTCGTTTGCAATGGAATCTCATGCATTGTGCAAGATCAGCATTCGACACACCCACCCTCGGCTCATCGAACGACTTCCACGGACGAAATCCTGGGAAAAAGTTAAAATGAGTTCATTCGGCGCTAAAGCTTCGAAAAATATTTCTCTCTCGCGTAAAGTTTGCCATCTATCGATTTCCATCTCTATGCGCGGAAGGTAAATGGTGACGAAAGTTAGTTTTCGGAAGATATCAGGTATCACACATTTTAGTAAACAAATTGCTTGAAGCTCTTCTATGCTACTTTAAAGGAGAAGATTTTAGATCGTGAGATAAATTCAAACAATCTTTTTATAACAAACATAAATATGTCCAATATTTTATAATTTTATAACTTTTAATGTAATTTTGTGGAGCTTACTTTATTTTAAGAAACCTGTCTATAATAATTACACATATTTTATTATTATTACACATGTTTTACTATTATTTTAATTGTATGTATCATAATTAAATTTCACTAGCAGCAAATTGGCAGTAATTATATATTATTTTAATTTATTGCCGTTTCATCCATACACGTGTTATACAATTAATTTTAGAATCGAAGAGAAGGTGACGCGTTGCATCATAAAACAAGAGAAATTATTTTAATTGTTATACTAAGATAAAAGTGATTTATCTAATTTTAATTAAAGTGAGTTATAAACTTTTTTTTAAGAATTCGCTACTCGGATTTCAAATCTCAATTGCGTGACTATGTAACAGAATAGGTCAATCACGCGAGTGAGTCATTCAGGAGAAGGGCAATCGAGCCTTAACCCCGGAGATTACATAGAATCAATTTTGTAATCTCATCAAAAATTCCTTGTAGTATCTAATAGCATGAAAAGTTTACGTGTGATAAAAATTTACGTAAATATTATAATCAATGTGTTAAAGTTTACACATCACTAATAACATGTAAAAATGCATAAACGTGTCAAAATATGATGTAAGGAATTGATTCTATAAATGTATATACGTATTATGCGTATACAATCTTCAAATATAATGAGTCTTACTGCATATTTAGCAGTGTTATACATAATTATGCGAGGTTTCAGGCAACATCGAAATAAATGTGATTACGTACGCTAATGCTAACTGCGTTCGTTATGAGAGTGTGCGTACATTTCAAGACCATAAGGTCATGTTATAAGCATTAAGTGTAATCATAAATAATCATACTTTATACGCTACCATAGTATATAGATAAAATTTTATGTAATTTTTAATTACACTTGTTTGCTTTGCGTACACAATATTAAACAAAGTTGGATTGTTACATTTAATATAAAGAGATGTAAAAATTAAAGTTATATGAAACTATTCAATGTAACAAGTTTTGGTATTGAAAGATTTGTTTACAATTTTGACCGTTTCAAGTTTTATTTATTGCTTGAAATTAAATTCCTTTCGCATTAATTGCATGCTGTGATATACAATATAAAGAAAAATAATTATTTTATACCTAAGTACATATGAAACAATATGATGAACACCGCTATAATGTAGTAATATGACGAAGTTCTAGGTTGCAATTTATGCGATGTGCAAGGTGAATCGACATGTTTGTCGAGAACAGGCTAGCTGGGAAAGAGCCGCGCTCTCAGAAATTTATGGGCTTCTCAATGCAATATATAATTGATGAAGCCAACATCGCGCGCTCGACCTTTAACGGGTACGATGAAAGAGACGCAAACTCGAATGCTCTAATTTCACGTAAATATTACAGTATTCAGGTAAAAGTTACTGAGTATTGTGAAATCTTCAACATATCTATGCCTCGCAAAAAGAATAATTTTTATATATGTATAAGGGAATCTTTTTTATGATTTAATGTCGTTTTTCTCTTTGCAATAATCCACTGATTCTATACGAAAAAAAAAATTTTTTTTATAATATTTAAGCTATAAGTAAAAATGCAAAATTTAATTTTAAAATTGATCTCGTTTACAATATTGCCATTATTACATATTACATATTTATTTAAACATAAAATGTTTAAATAAATATAAATATATACTATATGTAAACTTAAATACACATAAATATTATAGTACACTCATTCACATCATTATTATTATGTATATATGCATAAAATATTTTGTTATTTAATTCTGTTCTTCAAACTAACACTATCTCTCCTACGAGTAATAAAAAACTTTAATACGAATTTAAAACTGTGCATAAATATAGTTTTTAAAATCGTATAAGAATGTGCAATAAAAGCAAGTTACAGAGGTACTTCGAATTTGTTAGCAGATGAATAGAAAGCAAACGGCGTACACTATGAAAAAATCGGAAATTCAACCTTTAAGTATGATCTTTTCTGTTTAAGTTGCAGTACGCGCGTCTGTAAATGTTTCACAAAGTGTTGCGCCGTAATACGACTTTATCCACTGCATCACGTTCTGAAAATTCGTACTTACGACGAACGATCAAAGGAGGTATGGTTACCCCGCTGCGATTGAGCGTGATCAGTGCTAATGGTGAGACTGACATTTGCAGTTATTGTCTGCGGCGCAATACGGATGCAATGCACTGCGATGTTTATGGGAGCATGCAACCTACTCGCTGCTCTGTACGAAACCATGGGAAGTGTAAAACACTTGTATATTATTAAAATTCAATTTGTCGAAAATAGATAAAAAAAAACCGCGATTATAATCAGATATAAAAGTAATTTTAGAAAGATCTCTCGCAGATATGTCTAAAGAGTATTTATAAAATATGTCTGAGTTATTGTCTTTTAGAGTAAAATTGTTAAAAATAATTTTAAAATATTTTGATATATATATATATATAATACATATATTTATTTCTATTTTATTGATACAATCTACACATAGCGAATAAGATATATATGAATAAGAAATTCTCTAAGAACGAGACAACCTTGACCGTAAAAGTGGAACGATCTTATACTGCTTTGTAAAAAGGTTTTTCTGAGAAACGCGTGCAATAATCGCTGCACACCCCCGAGAGTGAAAGGACCGCGCCTCTTCGTATCCGGCACTCTGACATCTCCACTAATTATTCCTTGACGATCGTTACGAAACGCACGTTTTCCATGACACAACTTATAATGCTCTTCACAATAATATCATAATCGCGTTCATATTTTCTTCCTTTTTTATACATCATATGAAATTATTTTAATCCATACGGATTAAATTGGTATTTTATTTAATAACTGATATTCCTAACACAATAATTTCTTACACATAATTATAAAAGAAAAAGAGAGAAAAAGAATAATTTAAAAAAATGTTATTATTTATATCTATAATATTACAATAAGAGTACAGCATTAAAGTAATAAAAAAATGATATTTCTTTATAATTTTGTCTTTTTGCTACAGTTGTTGCATGTTAACATACAACATTATGGTCTATTAATAATTTAAAAAATTTTACTTGGCTAAATTTCAATTGCTTCGAAATAATAAATGTAATAAATATTTAAAATAATGATATGTGAAAAACAAGAGAAAACATTGCAAAATCTTGCAATTTTTATTTTTGAGAAAATTACATTGTACATTTACTACACAGTTAAATTTTTGTTAACTAAGTAAAGTCGATATTTTATAGACAACCCAATTTGCGGATTTGTTAAAAATAGTTGAATCACTAAATAGAGGGAGATAGTTGAAAAAGTTACATTGTTAAAAATTGTTTTTACGTTCGTTTCGTTTTAATTTCTATTTACAACAATAATAAGTAAAAAATTTTGATGCACAGTATTTTGTAAAAAATGGAAACTAGTACTCTTTGAATTTTACGACGTTTATTTTTGAATTTTACGTCAAATATACGTTTGAAAAACCAAAGTGTTTGTCTCGAGAAAATATGACTTTTTCCATATGTCGGGCGAGATTGAGAATCGACGCTATTTTTATCTCGTAAAAACAAAGTAAAAAAATAAAAAGTGAAAAAATTAGAATATAAAAAGGAGTCTGCATCTTAGCGTATTCAAATTTCATGCTCTTTGTCACATCACCAATCGATGTCTTCTTCGCTGAAGAAATTCTACTCAATTCCATCTTAGCATGTGCACTTAATCTTTTTATTTTATTTGTAGTTCGTATGTGAAAAAATGTAAAAGTAGTCGTATGCATTCAGTATTTAAGAAAAATTTTATAAGTTTTTTATAGACGTGAGAATTTATGACAAATTTGACAGAGTGAAGCCTCTTTGTTTTTTAATAAGCATACAGTA